CAGCCGTGCTGACAGTCATAGGTGTCAGCCCAAGGTGCTATTGTACCGTCAGCGACCATAACAGCCGTGTTGACAGTCACAGGTGGCAGCCCAAGGTGCTATTGTACCGTCAGCGACCATAACAGCCGTGGTGACAGTCACAGGTGTCAGCCCAAGGTGCTATTGTACCGTCAGCGACCTTAACAGCCGTGTTGACAGTCACAGGTGTCAGCCCAAGGTGCTATTGTACCGTCAGCGACCATAACAGCCGTGTTGACAGTCACAGGTGGCAGCCCAAGGTGCTATTGTACCGTCAGCGACCTTAACAGCCGTGTTGACAGTCACAGGTGTCAGCCCAAGGTGCTATTGTACCGTCAGCGACCTTAACAGCCGTGTTGACAGTCACAGGTGTCAGCCCAAGGCGCTATTGTACCGTCAGCGACCTTAACAGCCGTGTTGACAGTCACAGGTATCAGCCCAAGGCGCTATTGTACCGTCAGCGACCTTAACAGCCGTGTTGACAGTCACAGGTGTCAGCCCAAGGTGCTATTGTACCGTCAGCGACCTTAACAGCCGTGTTGACAGTCACAGGTGTCAGCCCAAGGCGCTATTGTACCGTCAGCGACCTTAACAGCCGTGTTGACAGTCACAGGTATCAGCCCAAGGCGCTATTGTACCGTCAGCGACCTTAACAGCCGTGTTGACAGTCACAGGTATCAGCCCAAGGCGCTATTGTACCGTCAGCGACCTTAACAGCCGTGGTGACAGTCACAGGTGGCAGCCCAAGGCGCTATTGTACCGTCAGCGACCATAAAAGCCGTGGTGACAGTCACAGGTGGCAGCCCAAGGCGCTATTGTACCGTCAGCGACCATAACAGCCGTGGTGACAGTCACAGGTGGCAGGGCACAAGAGACGGCGGGCCGCCCACAAACCATACCCAAACACCAACTTCAAAACACTGATGATTTCACCTCTACACTGATGATTTCCTGGTTACCGCTCAACACGAAACACCTCGACCACTTGATGAACCACTTACACCCCCGCTGGCGCCAGGTGTGTAGTGCTACGGGTGTAAAAACGCTAAAATATATGACACAGGCGGAGGAGCCTGGCGCGGGGTCGGTTACAGTCACAATGGCGGTGTAAACAAAGGGAGCGGATAGGTCGCTTACACTACGGCTCGCTGCCTCTTTGATTTATCAAAGATTTACGCAATCTCTGGCGAAACCTGTACATCTCTCGGCAGTTATTGAACGGGTTTGTTTGTGTTTATTAAATAGTTGATGATTTCTGAAGCGCTACGAGGTTGTTATGGCTATAATATTCCTTCGAGTGAGGGGAATAAAAGATCGTAAATCGGATTTAAACGTTGTAAATTGTAACTAAAAAAACAAATGCTCATTAAAGTGAACTGGATAAAAATTGATAGAGTATATCTTGAGGTTATCTTGAGATGATTTCGGGGCTTTTTAGTGTCCCCGCGGCCCGGTCCTCGACTAGGCCTCCACCCCCAGGAAGCAGCCCGTGACAGCTGACTAACACCCAGGTACCTATTTTACTGCTAGGTAACAAGGGCATAGGGTGAAAGAAACTCTGCCCAATGTTTCTCGCCGGCGCCTGGGATCGAACTCAGGACCACAGGATCACAAGTCCAGTGTGCTGTACGGCCGACCGGCTCCCCAGAAATACAGAATATACATAAAGCGTATAAATTGAGAACCTAATTATATATATATATATATATATATATATATATATATATATATATATATATATATATATATATATATATATATATATATATACACACACACACACACTCATACATATACTATTAAAACACGAACATACACAATCAGAATTCCAACTCTAAAACATTAATGTTTCATTTCTATCAAACAGACATAAACTAGAAGTTAAATCACCACCATGAATATCAGCCTAATACATTTTACCAGCAATATACGTCACAGCCCAGTGCAGGGAGCTCTGCGATTTTTATTGAACCTATAACAATATCAATTTGCATACGGGGATGGCGTACCCGAGCACGTGTATAAAATTTCGGCCCGAACCCGCCACATATTTCAACGTTGCAATTAGCAATATTCTCTGGAAAGCATTAATTGCGTCGCGCCATCAAACTACAGCCCGGTCATTACCCTCGGCTGTAACGAGCAAACGACCGTGACACCATAGTTAGCTTCAGTTAAAACTGTGGGTTGGTACGGTGTAATTTTTTTTTTAGGTGGGGGTACAGTGTTGTGGAGGGTATAGTGTAGTGATGGTGCACAGTGTAGATGTGGATGGTACAGTGAGGTGAAGGTACGGTGATGTGTTGGTGCTACAGTGTACCGGTAGTCCACTGTAGCAGCGAGTGGTACAGTGTATTCACGTAGTTTTACTTGAAGGGAGTGAATTATAGCTCTTGGATCCCGCCTCTCATCTGTTCCTCAGATTCAGGACAGGAATATCCCGGAAAGGAATGCCCTGGGAAGGGTGTATATATATATATATATATATATATATATATCCCAAGCAGGAACATTCTGGACAGGAATAACCCGGGCAGAATAACCCAGACAGGAATATCCCAGACAGGAATATCCCAGACAGGAATATCCCAGACAGGAATATCCCAGACAGGAATATCCCAGACAGGAATATCCCAGACAGGAATATCCCCAGGTACGAATGTGGGAACCTTGAAGCTACTGAGGTATCTGGCCTCAGACTCTTTCAGCTACAGGAGCTGAGAACAATCCCAGCCGACTATCCGCCCAATCTTTATCTATCTCCTAGTGTCATCTGCATAAGCCGTAAGGAAAACGCAAAAATGCTAGTTTTACGAAAGCGACGCACACGCACACACACATACACGAGCGTGTGCACATCCACGCAACGATGTGGTTAATGTGTAGTGAAGTTGAGGTGGAAAAGCTACGCCCCCAGTCTGGATTCTGGGGGGACCCGGGGGGGCTCGGAGCCCCCCAATTAATGCAGTGAAAATTGTTCGATAATCAACAGTAATATGAAGCACACTCTAATCTCCAATCTCAGATTCTGGTGATGGCAGTGAATCAGGCCCTCCATAATATAACTAACATTACGTGTCAAAAAGTTATATGAAAATTCACGTCATTTCACGTAGACGTGAATTCCTTAGTAAATCAAATTCCATTGTGAACTTGATTGTATGGATAACTCAGCCTTCCTCCTTAGGAGTTAGTAAACTATTCCCTTAAAGGTGTTTTTCTGTTAAGCGTATCTCCGTGGACTATTTTCTGTAAAGCGTATCTGTGTAGACTATTTTCTGTAGAGCGTATCTGCGTAGACTATTTTCTGTAAAGCGTATCTGTGTAGACTATTCTCTGTAAAGCGTATCTGCGTAGACTATTTTCTGTAGAGCGTATCTGCATAGACTATTTTCTGTAAAGCGTATCTGCGTAGACTATTTTCTGTAAAGCATATCCGCGTAGACTATTTTCTGTAAAGTATATCTGCGTAGACTATTTTCTGTAAAGCATATCTGCGTAGACTATTTTCTGTGAAGCGTATCTGCGTAGACTATTTTCTGTAAAGCGTATCTGCGTGGACTATTTTCTGTAAAGCATATCTGCGTAGACTATTTTCTGTGAAGCGTATCTGCGTAGACTATTTTCTGTAAAGCATATCTGCGTAACTATTTTCTGTAAAGCGTATCCGCGTGGACTATTTTCTGTAAAGCGTATCTGTGTGGACTATTTTCTGTAAAGCGTATCCGCGTAGACTATTTTCTGTAAAGCGTATCCGCGTGGACTATTTTCTGTGAAGCGTATCTGCGTGGACTATTTTCTGTGAAGCGTATCAGCGTAGACTAGAAAAGAAGTTAAAAAGCTATCAGTGTAGACTAGAAAAGAAGTTAAAAAGCTATCAGCGTAGTGTTCGAACCCATGCCGGCAGTCGCACAATTCCTCGTAGTGACCGGTAGAGCCACGGATATTGTAGCTGTATTATCACTGTTAATATCCCAGCGGTGTGAGATAAACCGAGGCTTTGTGTTACAGAGTGGTTGGATGGGGCAGCCGAGAGCGCCGTGCCACTCCACGAGGGAGAGACCGTGAAGAGATGCGCTGGAGAGCGCTGGCGTGAGTAGTGGAAATTCGGACGTTTCCGTATGTGTAGCGGAAATGTGGATGTGTGAAAGTAGTGGGACTCTATAAGCTCTCGTTGGAGTAGAGGAACTCTGGAAGTTGTGTGGCATCAAATGCCTAAGATACATACACACACACACACACACACACACACACACACACACACACATACACACACACACACACACACACACACACACACACACACACACACACACACACACACACACACACACATACACACACACACACACACTCACACACACACACACACACACACACACACTGTGGAGGAAACATCAGCACTTTCCTTCGGGGATGATAACTTATGCTACAGTTGCATGGTGATGCATACTACAGGTTATGTCTCACGTACGTTAAAATAAAATCGGCAATTTACCCTCCACGAGGAGGCTTTTTTTATAATGTTACCACCAGCACTCTCGTAACGTTTTGGCAATACCTCGAAATGGGGAATTTTCTGAGAATTTTCTTAAGTATTTCCTAATTAATTGGCAATTTTATGAGGCCTATGTTCACTTCTTCCAATTACCTGGCATTAATCAGTGTCACGTTCCAATTACCTGGCATTAATCAGTGTCACGTTCCAATTACCTGGCATTAATCAGTGTCACGTTCCAATTACCTGGCATTAATCAGTGTCAAGTTCTAATTACCTGACATTAATCAGTGTCAAGTTCCAATTACCTGACATTAATCAGTGTCAAGTCCAATTACCTGACATTAATCAGTGTCAAGTCCAATTACCTGATATTAATCAGTGTCAAGTCCAATTACCTGACATTAATCAGTGTCAAGTCCAATTACACATTGTTGAACTGACGTAGTCCGAAATCTAACTGCAGGTTTTCTCCTCCGCACAGTGTGTTCAGACTCGGGGGACGAGGCTGACGTAGGGACGAAAGACGAAGGGACGACGTCCCCCGGCGGCCATCGGAGGGGCGGCTCTGGGGGCGGCTCCGGAGGCGGGAAGCCCCGGAGAGCTCGTACGGCCTTCACTTACGAGCAGCTCGTATCTTTGGAGAATAAGTTCAAGCAGACGCGATACCTGAGCGTCTGCGAGAGGCTGAACCTGGCGCTGGCGCTTAACCTGACCGAGACGCAGGTGAAGATCTGGTTCCAGAACCGACGGACCAAATGGAAGAAGCAGAACCCCGGATGTGACGTCAACACGCCCACACAGCCGCCCAGTCCGCCCATGTCTGCTTATCCGGGGGGGCTTTTGCCCCCTCCTCCGCCCCCTTTGTTGTGTCCTGCCCCCCTCTCGTATAGGGGGCCCCTACACCCCCACTCCCCTCTCGCTGCTCTGTACCTGCACCACCTCGCTCGCTGACCCCACACACCCCCCCCTCTCCCCCCTCACCCTGACCCCTAAACACACATACACACACCAGTTGATTGACAGTTGAGAGCCGGGACCAAAGAGCCAGAGCTCAACTCCCGCAAACACAACTAGGTGAGTACACACACACACACACACACACACACACACACACACACACACACACACACACACACACACACACACACACACACACACACACACACACACACACACACACACACAAAACAGCCTATTTAACATAAACATGAAATATTACATATCCACACAAATCCAGCTATATCCACATATTATAAAAATCACATATAAATATATATATATACATAAATACATATACAAACCCCCTAGAGAATTATTCTATTACTTGTAAATGCTGTACAAAGTAGTATTTAAGTGTCTTGTCAGGTTAACGACTATCGTTGCATCGTTAACAACCCCATTTCATGTTCCTGTGTACATACAGATTAATATATATATACATATGTCTGTTTTATATATGCATCTGAGTTTTCATTGTCCCCCCCCCCCTTAGAGAGATATAGGAGTAAAAGGGGTTTCAACCCTTTTACCCTGTCGTAGCTCAGTCGATTAAGGCAGTGTCTGGGATGCTCCCGGACGCAGGTTCGAATCCTCGTCACGGCCCTTGTGGATTTGTTCAGATATAGGAGATTACCCCCTAACACACACCTGATTTGATCATTAACAAGTCCTGGAAAGATTGGTAATATTATAACGATTAGAATATAAAAAGGGGGAAAGGCCTGAGGGTTAGAAGATGGCATGAAAGTAAGAAATATACCATAGCCATAAAGAAAACGACAGGAGGCCTTAATTGTAAAGAGAAACAAAAAAAAGAGATACCAACGCTAGAGAAACGCCAATGAAAAGCCTAAAAGAGACTGAAACCTAAGACTTAATAATGGTCCACAATGGACCGAAACGTCCTGTTCCTTTCCCCTTATTTTCAGACGTGTGGGCTGGACGTCTAATGGTCAGCCTTATGTTAATGAGGCTGAATGTGGTGGTTATTAAGGGTCATATCTAAATCTAATAGTTAATCTATAAGTCATGGCTCATATTTATGCCTTAATCTGAGAGTATACTTAGCTACTGGACCACATCTAAGCCTTAATCTGAGAGTATACTTAGCTACTGGACCACATCTAAGCCTTAATCTGAGAGTATACTTAGCTACTGGACCACATCTAAGCCTTATCTGAGAGTATACTTAGCTCCTGGACCACATCTAAGCCTTATCTAAGAGAATACTTAGCTACTGGACCACATCTAAGCCTTAATCTGAGAGTATACTTAGCTACTGGACCACATCTAAGCCTTAATCTGAGAGTATACTTAGCTACTGGACCACATCTAAGCCTTAATCTGAGAGTATACTTAGCTACTGGACCACATCTAAGCCTTAATCTGAGAGTATACTTAGCTACTGGACCACATCTAAGCCTTAATCTGAGAGTATACTTAGCTCCTGGACCACATCTAAGCCTTAATCTAAGAGAATACTTAGCTACTGGACCACATCTAAGCCTTAATCTGAGAGTATACTTAGCTACTGGACCACATCTAAGCCTTAATCTGAGAGTATACTTAGCTACTGGACCACATCTAAGCCTTAATCTGAGAGTATACTTAGCTCCTGGACCACATCTAAGCCTTAATCTAAGAGAATAATTAGCTACTGGACCACATCTAAGCCTTAATCTAAGAGAATAATTAGCTACTGGACCACATCTAAGCCTTAATCTAAGAGAATAATTAGCTACTGGACCACATCTAAGCCTTAATCTAAGAGAATAATTAGCTACTGGACCACATCTAAGCCTTAATCTAAGAGAATAATTAGCTACTGGACCACATCTAAGCCTTAATCTAAGGGCAGGTGGTTACAGGATCATATCTAAGCCTTAATTTAAGGCTA